GTGTAAGAAACTCTGACATTACTTGAACTGAATAACTGTTCATGTGTTAGTGTGTTGAAATTAAATGACTCTATTGTTTCTCAAGGAGTGAGCTTGAGGTGAGAAGAGTGAAAAGATTTCTTAAAGTATGAACACCTAAAATAATAGAACCTAAATATCCATTTTCTGATTTCATAGGTGAAAAATGTGGTCCGGATTATCTGTGTTTCTTTTTGGTATTGGGAATTGAACTCAGAGGCACTCAACCACTGAGCCACATCCCTAGCCCTATATTGTATTTTATTTAGAGACAGGGTCTCACCGAGTTGCTTAGTGCCCAAGTTGCTGAGGTTGGCTTTGAACTTGCAATCCTCCCATCTCAAGCATCCCAAGCCTCTGGGATTACAGGCATGTGCCACCACTCCCAGCTAGATTAGCTGTGTTTCTGACTCCAGGTATCCATTCCATAGAAGCCAGCTTTCTCACTGAAGTTGTGAATATGAATACATCCTGTTATTATGAACTTTTAAGAGTTCTATATTTGTGGATACCCATGGAGTGTAGTGTGCAGTTTCAGAGCTCTGCTGTGTTTGTAGAAGTAGCTCCTATACACGCAGCCCTGGTGCTGCCCATCAGAGAGCTGTAGCTATGCATAGGGGTGAGTGGGCAGTCTTCCCTGCTGTGGGAGTCTTTGTTTATCCAGCACATAAGCACAGTTCAATCAGTCTGTGTCTACCTCTTGATCACTGGAAGGAGGTTTGGGTATGTGTTTTCACCTGATGATTCTTTGAATTTTTGTACCAAGCTTTACTTTACCTCTACAAACTATTTATCACTTGCCTGCTCCTTTCAAATTCCTGGAGTTTGAATGGCTATCTCTGGGTCAGAGTAAATATAAAGAGGAGAAACCTCCTTGTATATAAAAGTTCTGTTTGCTTTTTGTACCCTGCTCATCTCCTAACATTTCCATATCAATTTGTGGCACTGGGGCTTGGTAATGTGTAATATAATTAAATAATATTAGTTTCAACATAATGTTATTCTAAATAATTCTTGATGAAGTCTGGAGAATGGAAAGAACTTGTCACAGGTGTTTTAAAAGGCTTGAAGATAAAGTTGTAATTTTCAAAACTTTCTGAGAAGGGAAACTATGTACTATGGAAACATTTTGTTGAATGCAGTCATGATTTATATTCCCTGCCTCTTTAGGGCTGGGGATGTGGCTCAAGCGGTAGTGCGCTCGCCTGGCATGCATGCGGCCTGGGTTCGATCCTCAGTACCACATACAAACAAAGATGTTGTGTCCGCTGAAAACTAAAAAGTAAATATTAAAAATTCTCTCTCTCTCTTCCCCTCCCTCTAAAAAAATTATATTCCCTGCCTCTGACTTTTCTTAATCTTGGCTTCTATTGTCCAGGAGACACATCTTCCAAAAGATCTGAGAGGAATTCTGCAAATACTATCTGGAAATTGGGGTTTCTAGGATATATAAGGCAAAAGTGACTTTGAAGTAATAAATGACTCTTAAACTGGTGACTGGGTAATAATGGAGCATAATATAATAGGGAAGGAGAGAGAATCCCCAAGGCTTGATGTCTTCCCAAAGCAGGTACACCCAGGTTTGAAATGCTTTGATACTCTCTCCCTACATAAGCATTAATCTTCTGATTCCAAGGTTCATGCTTATGATTTTGTTTGCTTTGGTTTTACAAAAAAATTGATATATTTTAAATAAAATTTAATTTTGAAATAAATTCATATTTATCAAAACTTGCAAAGATATTAAGGAGATTGCTGTGCATTCTTTAGATTCCTATATTAACATTATATATACCTCTAGATTAAAATTGAAAAATTGACAGTTACAAAACTATTAACTGAACTAGACTTTTCTACATTTTCCAGCTTACTTATGTCTTTTCTTTTTTCTCTTCCAGTACTAAATTGCAGGACACTATATCACATTTATCATCAAGTGTGTTACCTATTTAAGTCTGCATGACTAGTCCCCACAGTTTAGTTCTTCAAAACCACACAATATTACTCAGTTTTTCTGAATTAGGAATGAAGATGTAGAAGAACATTGAGATCTCCTAAGCTGGGGAAGGTCCCTTCCATGCTCCTGTGATTATTGTTAAGAGTCAATTGCTGCCAAGGTCAAAATTATGTCACTGGTGAGTTACTTAGTATATCCTCCTCTATTATTTCAGGAAAACAAATTATAAAGAATAAAAAGTAAACATTTCCTGATACATTCTTTGAAGCCAGTTTACCTGATATTACAACTATACAAAGTATTACAGGAAAATAATATATTTTAAAACATTCCTTTGTAATTAATTTACCTGCTACCATGATGACACCTAGCCCCTGGCCTTTGGGCTTGGCAAAGTGTAATATAATCCTATATCAACTTCAATAGAAGACATGGTCCTGAGGAATTTATGTTGGAAACTAGAAAGAAAATAACTTAATTACAAAGTTTCCCCCCCCCAGAGGCTTAAAAGTACTGCTGATTTTTATAAACTTAATTAAACCTTATAACATGAAAATCCTCTTCTGAATCTCAATATGATTTATGTTCCCTGTCACTTATATTTCTTAATCTTGGCTTATAACCTCCAGAAGTCATGTATCCTAAAATGGCTTCATTGGAATCCTATACATATACCAATAAGATGTGTCTGAAAGCAGGGCATTCTGACATATGTGAGCCCCAGGCAACTCTTTGCAGAAGCAGTTACTGACAATCTATTAAATGGTGCTGGGGTGTATCGTGGGGAGGAAGAAAGAGGAGGCAAGTACCCAGAGCTTTCTGGTGTCTTCCTGAAGCAGATGCACCTGTGTCAGTAATGGGGGATACATAAGGAAGCTACTCTACCATTTTCTACCCAGATTTTTCTATCCCTTAACTTTTTTTTTTTTTTTTTTTTTTTTTTTTTGGTGGTGGTAGGGGTGATACTTGGGATTGAACCTAAGGGCACTTTAGCACAGAGCTACATTCCATTCTTTTATTTTTAAATTTGAGACAGGGCCTTGCTAAATTGCTGAGGCTGGCCTTGAAGTTGTGACCTGTCTCCCTCAGACTCACAATTTGCTGGGATTATAGGCATGCACCACTGTGTCAGCATTAGTCCAAGTTTTTGTTGCTGATCTTGTTTTTTATTGTATTTTTTTTGGTGGATCACATATTGTATTTTTTTTATTTGATTATATTTTTTAAATACACAACAGCAGAATGCATTACAATTCTTATCACACATATAGAGCAGTTTTTCATCTTTGTATATAAAGTATGTTTATGCCAATTCATGTCTATATACATGCACCTTTTTGCATTACAATTTTTATTACACATATATACCACAATTTTTCATATCTCTGTATATAAAGTATGTTGACACCCAATTCGTGTCTTCATACATGTACTTTGAATAATGATGTCCATCACATTCCACCATGATTGCTAATCCTCTGCCCCCTCCCTTCCCCTCCCACCCCTCTGCCCTATCTAGAATTCATCTATTCCTCCTATGCTCCCCCTCCCTACCCCACTATGAGTCAACCTCCTTATATCAGAGAAAACATTAGGGATTTGCTTTTTGGGGATTGGCTAACTTCACTTAGCATTAACTTCTCCAGCGTAATCCATTTACCTGCAAATGCCATGATTTTATTCTCTTTTACTGCTGAGTAAAATTCCATTGTGTATATATGCCACATTTTTTTAATCCATTCATCCACTGAAGGGTATCTAGGTTGACTCCACAGTTTAGCTATTGTGAATTGTGCTGCTATAAACATTGATGTGGCTGTGTCCCTGTAGTATGCTGTTTTTAATTCCTTTGGGTATAGTCCAAGGAGAGGGACAGCTGAGTCAAATGGTGGTTCTATTCTCAGATTTCCAAGGAATCTCCATACTGCTTTCCAGATGGGCTGCACCAATTTGCAGCCCCACCAGCAATGTATGAGTGTACTTTTTTCCCCACATCCTCGCCATATCATGATATCATAATGGTGGATACATGATACTGTTTTTCAAATCTATAGAAAGTTATGTTACTGATGCATGGGCAGGGGTCCGCAGGGGTCCCCAAGTCCAGGTTCTTAGCATCCTGAGCAAAGAACTGAGTGAGATGGGAGAGGCTGGCAGGCAAGGCAAAGGCTCACTAAAAGCAAAGGAAACACTCTGGAAGACCAGAGTGGGCCAAGCTGCAAAGGACCTCTTCACACAGTGCAGCTTGCTTTTATTGGGCTGTGCTAGTTCTCCGCCTTCTCTGGGTGGAGCTGGGGTTGACTGACACCTTGATTGACAGTTGAATCTGACAAAATTTATTTTCTACTGTCCTTGTTTAAGTTTCACCCAAACTGGGAAAATGCAGAAAGAGGGAGCAAACACTCATGCTATAATGCTAAGGACATGTCAAATAGCAACAAGTTAACTTTAGGTCAGCCCCCCTAGCTATTGCACATGCCAGACATTGGATAGTTTCCCCTTTAGGATCTTGAATCACTCTTGTGCTAGCTTCTTCCCTTTAACTGCAAGATGGCCCTGTTCCCCCACCTCACTCTTAGATGATAGGTGGGGCAGAGTTGCCCTAACCTTCCCCAGGCCTTATCTTGTACTTAACAACACAATGAGAAATCTTGCAAACTTGGGTAGGAGGAGTAGGTTTGGGAATCACAGGGAGCAATGCTGACAAAATAAAATAACTATTACAAGTGTGTGAAATAGTCTAATTGAAGGAGTAGAGGAAAAGAGGACTGACCTAAGTGAATTAGAAAAATGTAGAGATTCCAAATGTTAAAGACTTGAATGCAAGACCTTAACATTTTTAGTAAAATTGATCCCCACATGAGTATAGATTGCTCTTTCTGAAAAAACTATACATGTGTTTGATGCTAAATTTCTTATTGGAGTGAGTGTTTTCATATAAATAATAAGGAATGGGTCGATTAATTCCTGTATTATTAGATTAAATCATGTGGTGCTGCAAACAGTAGGAACGCATGCTTAACCTAATAAAGATAAATGTGGATACAAATACTGAGGTACTAGATTAGATCATATAGTACCACAGGCATGCTTAATATAGACATGAATGGATACAAATGGGGGGAACATGTAGAAATATTCATAGACATGTTTGTATGTGTACATTAGTATTCACAGTACCTTTTATTGCCAGGTGACAGCTGGGAATCAATGAAAGTTTCAGGAGCCATGAGTAGACTCTGTCCAGATATTTTGTTTCAACTCTGTTTTCTAGTAACAGAAACTATACAGTGCTTCTTGAAAAAATGAATACTAGGCTTGGGCAGGGAATAAACACAATTAACCTGTAGTTACAGAAAATAAGAATATGTTTAAACAAACACAACTTACCAGGCCCCCCCAAAAAAGCAGCAAAGTCAAATTTCAATTATGTGAATATTTCAACATCAAATAGGAGCCAACTGAAAGATCTTCCAAAGGTTAGCATGGGAAAACAAAATTAATTGAGCAAAACAATAAAACAATTTATGAGAAATGTAAAGTAAATATCCAAGACTGCACATGTAAATAGCTGTGATCATTATTTAAAAAATGGAATTGACAAATTGTGAATACTAAAAGTATTTCATATAATTTTTATAGATACTTTGTCCATAAAGAGGTGGAACATGAATCCTAACTTAAGCATGTGCTATGCACAGTGACTTCCTCTCAAAAAGTACAATTAGAGGCTGAGACAGTAGTATCAGAGAATTCAAAGTCAGCCTCAGCAAAAGGAAGATGCTAAGCAACTCAGTGAGAACCTCTCTCTAAATACAAAATAGTACAGGGGATGTGGCTCAGTGGCCAAGTGCCCTGAAGTTTAACCTCTGATACCTTCCCCCCCCAAAAAAAAAAAACACAATAAAGGGGAGTAAAGAGTAGTTTTATGGATGAATCTGATAAACAGCCTCATCATTAATGTCAACGATGACAAAGCATGTCGATATTCCTTAGTATTATAGGAGGAGAAAGGCATTTTCCCTCTGTGGACTATATTCTTAAAACCAATAACCCAGTGTAATCAGGAAATTTCCAAATAAGGAATGTTGCAGTCATTAAAAAATATGAGTCTGAGAAAGTGTCACATCTGAAGGATATGTAGTAGACAGGATACTGAAAAGTTATCTGGAATCCTGGATGGGATATCCCAGAACAGAAAATGACCATTAAGAGAAAGAAATAGAATATGAAGGTGGTGTGGTTGTTAGTGAATAAAGTGTGTTTGTGTGTGTGTGTATAAAATATACATAAAATCCAGGATTGTTAATGATAAATGTGCCATATCAAGTTAAACTCTTATGGTAAACTAAAAATAAGGGGAACTCTGGAGGTGGGGGGATATGAACACTTTCTGTTTACATTTGCAATTTTTCTGGTAAATATAAAACACTTGAAAATTTTAAAACAAAGTTGTGGTATTTTTGATCTTCACTTTAAATATGAATTAATAGAACCTTAGCAATGTGGTCAATGCCCTGAGTATATTTCCTTACCTACTAAAAGTAACTTATTTTAAATCATCTTTATTGTACCTTTATTTTTATTAATTTCCTCCACAAATTTTGATTACCTTTATTATCTTCACATTTATTTAATTTTTCTACTGGAGACTACCTAGTGGCATATTATCACTGAGCTACATCCCAGCCTTTGCCCTTATCACTTTTAAGACAGGGTGGCCATAAGTATACAAGGCTGCCTGTGAACTCACACTCCTCCAGCCTCAGCCTCCTGATTACATGTCCAGTTTAGAGGCATCTAAATTAATCCACAGTCCTGGTCTAACAGTTATCACCAGATATATCTATACTATGTGACAACCCACATAAGGCCTCTTTCAAATTCTTTTCAAAGAATTAAGGTTATGAAAAATAAATGAAAACAGAAAATGTTTACGATTGGACAGTATCTGGTTAGTAGACTACCATGGTGCCAAATTATCTCCACCTGTTAGTTATCACAACATTGTATTTTAATCCCTTCTCTATATAGTCAGAAGATATGATTTATATTGAATAGAATATTGAAAAGTATAGGGATAGCAAGTAGATGACTATGTTACATATGATTGTGATTCTTTCTTTCTGGAAAACTCTTATACTTTAATAACTTTGGTAAAAATTCCTCCATATGGGAGAAGCCCACAGGGTAAGAAATTGAATGCAGACTCCAGTCAATAGCCAGCAAGGAACTGAGGCCCTTGGTCTAACAGCTTGAACTATAGTTTGCAATATAATATTTGCAATTTGCCTTTCAAAAACACTATGTTGATTCATAAACGTGGTTTGCAATATAATATTTGCTACTTGCCTTTCAAAAATACTATGTTGATTCATAAGTATTGTGAGAACCTTATCATAACAAAATAATTCTAGTCCCATCCTTTGTAATATTGCTGTCATTAATTTCACATAAGCATGTGTATATGTATGTATTATATAGGATAAGAAATCATGTTTTATAATTATAAAAGAGTCAGCTCCAGGATAATATAACAGTTCTTACCATGTATAAATTTAACAGTCAGGTTTCTTGAAGAAGAAACCAATGTCATCACATGAAGAAATACTTAAATATAATGAAGGCTTCAATACTGTCTATTAGAAATGGGCAGATACAGTCAGTTGAACATCTGTAAGGAAACAAATGCAACAGAACCAACAATCAACTGCATATAATTATCTATTTATTACTACATCCAACAAGATCAGAATATGTATTCTTCTTCAGCTTATATGTTCCATTCCCCAAGAAATAGCACATTCTTGTATATAAAACAAGCTTCAATAAAGTTAAATAATAATTATCGTACATTATCTGCCTTCAGACAACAACAGAATTAATCTAGAAATTAAACACTTAGGTCAAAAAATATTAAGAGATACTAAAAATATTTTGGAATAAATGAAATGAAATCCTATCTCATTAGAATTTGTGGGAGGTAAAGAAAGCAAAACTTATGGAGAGATTCACAAAATTGAATGTTTATGTTAGAGGAGGAGAAATATCTCAAATCAAAATGTTTCAGCTACAGGAAACTGAAAGACCACCACTTTATCCCAGTTAAGCAGAAGAAAAGGTGCAATGTTATAAAGACAGTGAAAATAAAAGATAAAGCAATTAGATTTATCGTACAAATATTGATAACTTTGGATATTTCTGTGCTCTGGAAATTAAGCTAACAGGGATGACACAATACCCTAAGCAGTACCCCTTCTTGTGTGTGTGCAGAGATGACTTCTCTTTAAAATGAAACAACACTAACCAAACAAAATAAACAAACAAAAGCAAACTAGCATGGGGTAATTTCATCTGTTTACCAATCTGGCTAATACCAATAGCAGTGTCTAGCGTTTAGGTTCTGCTAACTTTTCTGAATCCACAATGAACAGAAATAAGAATATGAAAAGTGTTCTATGCTGTTCTGCCGTGATTTACCCATGTGGTACACAAAAGATTATAGTTTATGTTGAATTTTAAAAATGAATTTATAAATCTTTCAAAATACCTCACATATATTGTTTTCTATTTTCCAATAAACTTCAACTTTCAATCTGAAAGTGATTTGAACTTGAATATCAACATGTTCTCTCTCCTTACTGTTCTCAGGGAAGGACATGAACCCTGACTTCCACCTCTGCCTCTTCTCTAGCCTCATCATTCTCAAAACACTGTGAAAACCCTCTGATGTGCACACCCCGGCTGCTTCTCACCCCACCTGCACCTCTTTTGCCATTTGTGGTAGTTTTGCCTCCCTATTCCAAGAAAACTCTTCTTTTCCAAGATGTAGCTCAATTAATATGGCCCCCTTGATAGATGTTATCTGTTCTATACTGGCTTCCAATATTTAACCAATTTTAGTACATGTTTCTCCAATATTATCTCAATTGCTGTTAGCCTGGTCACAGCCTTGATATGGTTTTCATTGTCTGCATTTGTATGAACTTGCCTGAAACCATTTGTTGGCACCTGGTAGATCACTTGCACCAACACCGGAAGAATGAATGTCAACAGGAAAAGTGGAAATCACAGACATCATTGCAGCCTCTTTATTATAAGAAATATTTCATTACAGTTAACCTTCATGCAACAGGGGATGATGTGAAGGTATCCATGACCTTCAATCAAAATCTGCCTCAAGGCAATCAGAATCAGAATATCAGGGTATTTGTGAATTCACTTATGATCTAATTTCATTATAGCTTTTATTTTTATGTGAACAAACTTATGCCTTTAGGATTATAGGAAGATATTGTAAACAACTGTAGAATAAGGCTATTATGCATAATAGTTTAACTGATAGGCATTATGCTTTCTTTAGCCTCATCTTAAATCTCTGATTCATTGGCTTATGGAGGATCCCCCCATGAAGACTTCTATAGATAACGTGCACTGATCAATTTGGATCTTCCTTCACTATTAAAATTAAAGTTCACTTTGTCTTCTAAGTTTCATTCACATTGTTACTTTTTCACTTTAACATTGTCTCCTAGAATCATACAGCTAGAAATATATTAATGAATAAGTAATTACAGGAGGAAGGGAGCTATACACTGTAGGGACATAATTAGGGATTGAATTTACTTTTCTACACTTAAAAACAATATGCAAAAAATATAAAACATTGTTTTGTTTTGTTTTAAAGACATCATACAAACACATCATACAAGCAGCAAGACCTGAAAGAGTGAAACTCACAGCTTCAAGAGCATTTCCAGACTGTGATGCGAAAAGGATGATGACAGAATTCCTCAGTTAAGAAGATGCTGAACGTCTGGAGAACAAGGTGGCAAAATTTTCTCAAGCCATTATCCACATCCAGTGGTAAGAATGGGAAAGAATAATTAAATGCCACCTTCCTTGTAGATAGAATTGTCACTTGCCATCATTTCTCCACCATGTCATGGGTCACAGTACTACAAGAACACAGAAGAACAAGACATAAGACATCATTTGAATAAACTCAGTCTTTAACCTTTCATCTAATTTTTGACTGCAAAAAAACAGATGTCAGTAAAATTTACATGACATGGCCATCTTGCATCGAAGGCAAAGATGAAAATGTGCCCATTAAAGGTACAGAAAATTAGCTATATAAACAGTGTGAACCATATATCCCAGACACACAATGACATTTCTTATATTTCTGTTGTGTGTCTGATAAAATTACTACATTGCGATTTTGATTTAAATGAAGTTTTCCATTTATAAGAAAAAGCATAGCTATCATTAGTTATTTTTTTAGAGAGAGAGAGAAAGAGAATTTTTAATATTTATTTATTTATTTATTTTAGTTTTTCGGCGGACGCAGCATCTTTGTTTGTATGTGGTGCTGAGGGTCGAACCCGGGCCGCACGCATGCCAGATGAGTGCGCCACCGCTTGAGCCACACCCCCAGCCCTCATTAGTTATTTAAAGAAAATAAAACCAGTGACTTTTATATGTTTCCTCAGAAAAATCCCCATTTTACTTTAAATTTGGGAACTATTTTGTCTATTCCCTTCACTGCATGTATGCCACAGTCTATTTCCCATGAAGCAGTATACAAACATTTGATATATATGCAGTGGAATTAAGATTAATTATGCCATGCTATAGTATTATCATAATACTATACTAGTATTATAATAGAATGACAATGAGGGGGTAATTCTTTTTCTTTTTTCTCAACCATGATCTGGTTTTGAAATTCTATGATTTTTTTTTATTGCAGGAATCACCCAATTGAAACCTTATCTGGCCAAACAAATCCCTCACTATTAAGTTAGTATGAGTTAAGTATATTCTCTGTTTCTTGCTAATAATATCTCATAAATCTTGAGGAAACTCCTCAGAATAGTTTTAGATCATCAGATTGACAATTTTATTATTGCATAGTAGGCATAAAGGTAATAAATCTCAGATTTTCTTTCATTATAGAATGTTCCTCTCAACACAGTCAAGCTAGCTATCATTTTTGTATACAACAAATCCTAATCTGCTTGTTGGTAGCCTAAATCTAGTCGGCCCTCTTCTTTGGTACCTCCAGGTGGTATCATGTAAGGAAAACTCTGATCAATCCAGGTTGAGGAATCCCATCTTCTCTATTCAGGACACATAACATCTATTCACAGAGGAGTGTCAATGGTTCAGCATAACCAAGACCTGCTAAGTAATAGAAATGTGTGTTAATTACTGTCTAAACACAGGATCTTTTATAAAAGTCACAAGAATAAAATGAATGTCACTTTTTATGATAGTTTTCCTTATGCATTTACTTTAATAAATAACAAAAAGGTTTTCTGCCAAAACATTTGTCACATTTAAAGTATAAAATCAAATACAGAGCTTCAGACACATGAACCATATACACATACCTACACATCCATTCCTCAGTCCTACACAAACCCATCAACAGACTAATTTGTCCATCAACACTATTGAGTAAAAAGCATAAGTATCTCTAGAAAAGCAAAAGTGGTTTTCAGTAACACTGTCAAAGTGGATTATTTTCAATTTAGCACTTAAAAGGGTAGAAATAGATATTTCCTACAAATACAATTACCAAGCATAAATCCAATTTATAAGATTTTTAAAAACATGTTCTATAGGAATAATTAGTAGATGTGCCTTTAGTCACCATTAGTCATATTAACACTATACAAATTAGAGTTATAGCAAGACATCTTTTAAGGATAATTAACAGAAGCACCTGCTAATCATCTCTGGGCACTTCAATACTAAACAAACTAGAGCTGCAGGAAGACGTCTTATAAAGTAGACTGCATTCCAGGAGGGTGGATTGGCTGGACTTAATTTTGTCCAACAGCACAGCATCTGCAAGTCACATTTTCTATGGAGCTAAAATGATGGATGACTTGGAGGCTACCTAAAGCTGCTAAAAACTAAACCCACCACTAAAAGAGGTGTCCGAGTTTCAACACTGGATAGGTTATTCCAACAAAAAGCAAGAGTGTAGAAGTTTTATCTGGCCAGTCACAGAACTTTTGGGTTGTCACTGAACACAAGAATATCCTGCCAGTCAAAGGGGACAGGCTGCAACGGCACCTTCACTCTAGGATGGTCCATCTTACACAGGGCCTCAGACAGGCATCCCGTCTCCAGGCACAGGACTTCATCACGCCTGCTCCTGTAACTGGGAACACGCACAGACAGGGTGGCCCTGTATTACACGAATGGCCTTGCAGCAACAACAGAAAACATACTCACTGTCCCATTTTCATAAGAAAGGTTATATGTACACTCTACACTTCAGCCTCAAAATGTAGACCCCAAACATGCCCTCTTCAGCAAGCAATGACCCGTGAGGACCCCACACCCTCAATCCCACTTAGCAGAGCATTTGTCACGTTTAAAATATAAAATCAAATACAAAGCTTCAGATGCATGAACCGTATACACATACATCCATTCCTCTAAGCCCCCTCCTTGGCCGCCAGGCGCTGATGGTGGACTTGGTCTTGCTGCAGCTCCTCCTTGTGATTCGGGTGCCAAAGTCTCATGATGATGCTCTCGATGTTGAGGGCATAGATGGTGTGTGTAGGGATGACTTCCCAGTGTACCTGCAAAGCCTCAGGGAGTTTCTACATGTTCACTGGAGGCAAAGGTGCAGGCAGCGAATCCCCAGAGCAGATAAGCAGGAGTGCAGCCTGCTGCTCAGCAGCATCAGGGGGCAGATGGGCAGTCGGGTTCTCACCAGCACAGGAAGCGGACACAGCCAGAGGGCCTTCGATTAGGCTATTGTAGGCCACCATGCTGTTCTTCAGGTATGGCTGTGGGGTTACATTGCTACTGAAGGCAAACTTAAAGTGGTCATCTCGCAGCCGGTTGGGCTTTCCTTCTAGACACAACTGACGTCAGTATGTCTTTAAGGTGGCTCAAAGACCACGGTGTTGTCAGCCACGCTGTCCAGGCCCGTGTTGGTAGGCTGTCACAATCATCCTCCCCTCCAGCTGGCCGCGCGTGGGAAGCATCATCATGTGGGAGCAGAGTTTCAAGTCGTCATCCTGGGGATCCTTTGCCAAGAACTGGTCAAACTTCTGACGAACAGAAGAGGGCTTTTTCTTGCCCTTGGGCTTCCCAGGCTTGGCTGCAGGTCCCCCAGTCCAAGGCAAAGATCCAGCACCCTCTGGTGTGGAAACCAAAATCTGATACTGCATGAGGATGGCCAGGAGGAAATCGTTGAGAGAATGCACATTTTCCTGTGTGAGAAGTCCATGGGCCTCAAGGTCAAACTCCTCCTTGCTGATCTCTGCTTGAACCACAGCTTCAGGTTAGCCCAGTATTGCCTGACATTGTCCGCCAGCGCCTCACTCGGGTTCTTCTTGGCCGCCTCCAGCTTGCTCACAAAGGTCGCCAGGGCCGGCGCACTCCACCCTCCCGCGCACTCCACCCTCCCACGCACGCTAGCCGCGGTGCCCAGCAACCAGAATGTCACTTCTTATTGCACTGAAAACAACTTTAGTACTTGCTCAAAGAGTAAAAAAAAGAATACAAACTTATATCATGGGTATCTATATAAGGATATATAAAGCAGGTATTTAAAAAATGAAATGGAAAAAAAAATCAAAGACTCCAGTCAATGCTTCCAAATTTTGGGTAAACAATCTAATGAATTCATACTTGCATAGTAACAAAATGGCTGGCCTATGCAGTCAGAAGAGTTTCAGTTTTTTAAAATTGGGTTCTTTAGTAATACATGACTATAAATCCATTATGATAAAGTTACACAGGATAGAATATATCTTACTCTAATTAGGACTCTGTTACTGTGGGTGGATATGATGGTGGGGTTCATTTAGGTATTTTCATATGTGTATGTAGGAAAGTTATGTCAGACTCATTCCAATGACTTTCCTATTCCTAACCTCCTTTTCCCTTCATTCCCCTTTGTCTAATCCAATGAATTTCTCTTCTCCCTCCACCCACTTGATGCCCCGTCTTTATTCACATACCAGTGAAAACATTTGACCTTTGGTTTTTTTGAGATTGGGAGTTTCAACATTATTTCCATCAAAATTAATGCCTTGTGAATTAAACGAAAGTAAATGAAAAAAGCCATGTAATGAAAACTATTCACAGATTAATGTGTGTGCACAAAGTGCACGTATTGGGGGGCGCTGAATGCAGGGTCTCCTTTGTGCTAGGTGTGTTAGACAAGTGCTCTATCACTGAGTTACATTCCCTGTTCCCTCAGACCTTTCTGAGCATTAAATTCTGCATAATTTTGACATGTTATTCCTAAAAACACCCCTGTCTTTTTTCAACCATGAAACTTTCTCAGAAACACTAATATAGATGTGTAACATTTGTCTTTCCTAATAAAAAGTGATTTTCCCATCTGATTAAGACTGATGCTTGAAAAGATGAGAATAATTGAAATGAATCTTGGGAAAATACATTTTTTAAAAAGATACTATTTCACAATACAAAAATACAAATTTAAATTTAGAGGTCATATGACCAGGAACAAAATATATATATACATGTATATACACACACACACACACACACACACACATACATACATAAGTGAAAATATTTACAGCCAGCATAAAAAGATTAAAGAAGCAGTAATGTGTTTTAGTAAATAGACACACTGATTCTTGGGCAAAATCATTATTTACACAAATGATCTGAATTCCTCATTTAGCCATATAGGGAGGGCAGGGAACTGGAATATTTGCCAATATAGTCCCCACACATAGGCCAAGCTCACACCTGTCATGAGTGGTCTTGAGACACAACCACTGTGTCCTCCTTGCTTGTGCAGAGTCACCCAGGAATGCCTCCTCAAGTTCCTCTTGTGTTCCATGCGCCTGGGGGAGTACAAATTTCCCAAGTCTTCAGAAAGCCATGAAAGAAAGAGAAGCAATGAGATCCGATAAAAGTCACTTGAATATATTGCAAAAATTAAAAGAGGAGTGTTTGGGGAAGGATTAACCAGGATTCACCAGTACAATAGACACATTTATGTGAACAACTAAGTTGTGTAGTTGTAAAAATCTCACATTTTTTTGAACAAGCATTTATTTACCCACAGTTCAAGTAGCTGGGTAAATCAGGCCACAGCTAGGAATACTGCTATAGGTGAAAGATGTGCAGTTTTCGTTCTTCATTATAGAATAGAAGCATGGTTGAAAAAAAGGGCTCTGGAGGGATAATTCTGGTGTTAAATGAAGTCTCTTTGTAACTAATACAGTATGATATGTGCAAAAATAAGAAATATATAAAAGCAAATATTAATGCAAATAATTTATGACAGATCAGTGGTGACACTTGAGTTTTCATAATGGTGCAGGAAACTGAATATTCTTGGAGCAAATTAAGATCTGACCTTAACAGTGAAATGAATCTGACTGAATTTTCATGTGTGCATACATGGATGTGGAATAGTGGTTCCTGGCATTGGGTGTATCCCCTGGATACTATGTTTTTTTTTTTTTTTTTTAAATATGCTATAAATAGATTGAAGAGGGATTGATGAAGTAGAGGGAGGGGAACAGGGGAGTGCCTGGAACTGAATCTGAGCAGGTTGTATTCCATGCTTTTGTGATAATGTCAGGGTGTATCCTGGTGTTGTATATAACTAAAAAAATGTCAAAAGTCCTAATCTTTGAGCTCATAAAAACTATTAATTAGTGGTAGATTACAGACTTAAATTGTAAACAAATATAGAGTTGAAAGCCTAAAGGAAAATAACTCACCATGAGATATGGTAAAATCCCTGGGAAACTAGACCTAAAAAAAGTACCTAAATTTTTTTAAAAAAGTATTTCTAAGATAATTGATGTGAGGAAAGACCCTGAAGACAGGCTCAATTATCTTACATTATTTTCTTGCAGAGCTTTAGCTCAGATTTAGAATTGAATCACAGGAATGGTAATAGTTCCTACCTCTTGAGAAGTTATGAAAACTGTATTACCAAATACATAAAGCTTTTAAACTAATGGTAAGTCTATACGAAGGAAGGCAATATTTCCTAATACAGACAGTTCTTTCTGAATCATTGATGATGTAACACTCTACTCAATTGATATATACATCAGTATATGTGACAATGAAAAAACATAAGCCCTTAGACAAAGAATAAACATTTTAAAAAATATTTTTAGTTGTAGACAACTGGTTCTTGGAGACCTCACCTTACAGGAAAGCTAGACACAACACTGGACTTGCCCCAGTGGCTCCCACTCCCCTGGGAGACCATCCAGATGCTATGCAGAGATCACCTCCCACTCAGTGTGCCTGCATGGAGCACGAGTTTGCAGGCTAGAAACCAATAATTATGACTTCCCTTGAGTAACCTGCTTGGTAATACCGTTAAGGGTGCAGCCCACTGGACCTTCATTATGTATCTCTCCTTTTCTGACCTTCCCACCTCACCCAAGCGCTTGTGAATGCTTATCCAGGATGGCTCATTCTTGTTATCCCAGTGGAGTGAGCTGCCCTCTTATCTGGGATTTTAAGAGTAATACACTAGTGTTCTTAATTCATGTGTTTTCTTGAGTCTCCTCCACTGTCTCACTTGACCAACACAGCTTATCCTAACTTCTTTTTCTGACAAGCTATCCTATAGAAAGTAAAAAAAAAAAAAAAAAAAAAAAAACAGAGACATGGGTCAGACAAAAGCCCAAAGGGTTATCAGCTATGCAAACAAGTTTCCTATGAGAGAGAATGTTATCAGAAGTCAGGCAATGAGGGACAAAGGCTACCCACCAAAGATAAAGAAATTCCATTGAAAGATTCCCATGACTTACTGATGTCATAGCCATTATAATGTTGTGGTAAAAAGTATTATTCATGTGTTTATGATGATGTTGGTGTAAACACATGTACTGTGTTTCCAAGTATGAAAGTGTTAGGTCCGTGGTGGTGACTTGGTGGCGACTTAGTGGCGACTTAGAACAAAGCAGCCCGCGCCCGGAAAAGAACACCAATCAGATGCCGGTGGAAATGCTGGTCAATCAGCCAGATCTCCTGACTAACGCCTGTCAATCATCAGGCCCCCCTGGCCAATCCTGAAGTTCAGCCAACTCCCCTGACCAACTCCAAGGGGGCAAGGGACCCTAGAAACACCTTTTCCTGTCCTAAGCCCTTCCCTTCCTGCTGTAAGCCCCATAAAAGTCCAATCCGGTGGAGCTTCCAAGGTTTCTCCTCAGACTCTTCCCCTGTCCCCTCTGTGGGTCTGATCGAGTTCCGCCTGGGAGTGATATCTCAATAAAGCCTGTTCAGCAGCCCTTTTAAATCTGCCTCCTTTGGTCGCTGCCTGCCTTGTCTGATCTGACAGAAAGTATAGCACTATTGTGTATAGTATATTATAATCAATTTTTTTAAAGAGAGAGAGAGAGAGAAAATTTTTTAATATTTATTTTTTAGTTTTCGGTGGACACAACATCTTTATTTTATTTTATGTGGTGCTGAGGATCGAACCCAGTGCCCCGCGCATGTCAGGCGAGCGAGTTACCACTTGAGCCACATCCCCAGCCTATTATAATCAATTTTGATAATAAAAGACTGTTATTGTTAAGTTTGTGTGAGTGGTACTCAAGATTTAACCCAGGGGTACTCTACCAATGAGCTATATTCCCAGCCCTTTTTATTTATTTTGGTACAGGATCTCAGTAAGTTGCTGAGAGTTTAAATCACTGAGGCTGGACTCAAACTTGCAATCCTCCTGCCTCCACTTCCAAGTCACTAGGATTATAGGCCTGCACCACCATGCCGGCCTTATATATTTTCCATACTGTTTTAGATTTCTGTTACTATTAAAAAAATACCTGAAACAGTCAACTTACAGAGACGAAGTGTTTTGACTCACTTTCAGAGGTTTCAGTCTACAGCTGATTGATCCTATTCATTTGAGTTTGTGGCAGCACGGCAATGGTAAAAGCAGGTGATAGTGCAATACCATTCATCTCATGGCTTCAGCATGAAAAAGAGAAAAAGAGACTGAGGTCATAATCCTATTCAAAGGTATACCCCCAAGGACCTAAAACATCCCCAAAAGATCCTACCTCTTAAGTTTTCACCACCTCCCAGTAGTACCATGGGTTAGGAACTAGGCCTTTAGCACACAGACCTTACTTAGGTAGACATTCTAGATACAAGTATAACATACATTTTAAATTAATTATGCATAGGTAATGTTTTCCTATAGCCATTTTGTAATTTGTATTCTAGTCCTGTTGTAGTTTCTTTCTTACTCTCTTAAGAGTAGTAAAGTGATTTATTTGAAATGTTTTGAATTCTTATTTATGATTTTTTGATTAGCCTACTATATATGTTTGCTTTGTAGTTACCAGGAGTTTTACAAAAATATCTTTTGATTATAGAAATATTTTTTATTTTTTATTTTTTAAATTTTTTTAAAAGAGAGAGTGAGAATTTTAATATTTATTTTTTAGTTATCGGCGGACACAATATCCCTGCCTGTATGTGGTGCTGAGGATCGAACCCGGGCCGCACGCATGCCAGGCGAGCGCACTACCACTTGAGCCACATCCCCAGCCCCTAGAAATATTTTTTTAAATGATAGCAATTTAATGATCACAGGCATAACAGATAAAACACAACTATACTTGCATTCCACTTATCTTCATAATTGAATTTTTGATATTCAATATCATATCTGTCAAAATTGCCTATATTAATATTTTAAGAATTATTTTCAATTATTTTGTATTTGTCTTCATATTAAAGATACAAATGGTTTATGGGTTGTGTTTACAATATTTGAACATTCTGAGTTGTATAATTACTGTTAACATTGGGAGATATGAAACTCTGTTTTCTTGCTCACCAATATGTTTCATCTTAAGGAACTGCCTTTAGCATTTCTTGTAGGACAGGTTGGGTGGAGATATATTCTCTCATGTTTTTATTTTCTGGGAATTGTATTCTGTAATTAAAAGACAAAGTAACTGAAATAATAAAATCCAAATACATGTTCTTTACAAGAAACTCAATTCACTTCTGCAGACAGGCACAGACTGAAAACTAAGGGTAGAATAAAATGTTACAGGCAAATGGAATACAAGAAGCAGGAGTAGCCATACTTATATCTCATAAAATAGAATAAGTTAAAAGTGGTAAGAAAAGGAAGATCATTATATAATGGTAAAGGGGTTAATTAAGCAGGAAGAAAAAAATTGTAAATAAATTTGTGCCCCATATCAGAGCACTGAAACATAGAAAACAAATATAAGTAGACCTAAAGGGAGAGATAGATTGCAATATAATAGTAGGGAATGTAACACTGCACTTTCACCAATGGACAGATCATTCAGACAGAGTCCAAGGAATAGCAGAGTTCAATTGCATCCTAGACCCAATGGCCCTAATAATTATCAACAGAACATTCCACCCAACAGCTACAGAAAATTCTACTATATGCTTTATCATTATTTTGACTGTACTCCTTACACTTTTAAAATGAAAAAGTTTACTGTAAATCAGTATGTTATGTTTCACTACCAGCAGCCTCACCCATCTCATGTTTACTGCATCTCTTCATCATCTCATTTTCTCGTGTGCTTCATTTAATCCTTGTTTTGTTCATGCCATGGCTCCTAAACCTACAAAATCCACTGCTAATGTCCCAGTAAGAGGCCATCTCAAGAGACTGACCTGGAAAAGAAATTAAAGTGATTAAGAACTATGAAGGAAAAAATATCAGTGAAAATTATTGCACAGTCAGGCATGTTCCATCCCACCATGGCTATTCTCTTGTAGGACAAGAACGCAGGGATAGAAGCTGGTAAAGGGTTTGCCTCACTGAAGTAATGGAGACTAAAATTTGAGAAGGACTTGAAGCAGAAATGGAGAAATATCTAATGACTTATATTGAAGACCAGACACAAAGATATCCCTCTCAGCACTATGGTCATCAAGATCAAAGTAAAAATGCCATTTGTGATGCTGAAAGAAGGCTGGACCTAACTATGATTCGGAAATTACTGCTAGCTCTGAATGATTTAAATTACTTGAGAATAATTGCTCAGTATATAATGTGAGAAAGACTAACAAATGTTTATGTGGTGATGTAAAGTCAGTTGGATTTTTTTTTAAACATGCAGATAGTCTGTGGAGGAAAATTATTTACCAAAGCAAAGCAAATCTTCAGTATTGACAATCCCTCCCTAATCTGGAAACAGTCTCAAAAAGATTTTTTTCATCCACAAGGAAGTTAAAGTCAATGCTAAGTTTTAAGACATTGAAATATGGCGTAACAGTATGATTTGGGGGCAATATTGAAGGATACCAGCTAAAATTCTTCTTAACCTACAGTGAGAAGCACAGGGCATTCAGGCATCTCAACAAGCACACACTGCCATTGCATTACAGGAACAATCAGAGGTCATGGATGACCCAGCTCCTCTTGCAAGATGCTCTTCTTGTATGTGTTCACTGCTACACCAGTGAAATGGAGAAGCACCATTTTGGAGAACTACATACTTCAATGTTTTGCTCATGTTTGATAATGTTCTTGATTATCCTCCTCCAACTTTTAATCTCCAGCTCTTTGCCAAGGTGGTGTTTCTTCCTCCAAAACACCATTCTTTGATACAACCAATGGATCAAGGAGTTTAACAGGTCTTAAAACCTACCATCTGAGGATAATGTTTGCCTAGGCTGTTGCTGCAGCTGAGGAAGATAGTAAGCAGACACTGATGCAATTCTGAAAAATTACAAATCTATGACTGCATCAAGAACCTTGCTTTCACTTGGAATGATGTCACCAAGAAATATGAGTGGCATCTGGAAAAACAGAAGAATTTCATTTAGGATTAAAAAGATTTGTTAAGGATGAGGTGGTTGCAAAAAAAAAAAAAAGCTATAATTAAGATGCAAAACAAATTTAACCTACGTGTAGGTAAGGATAATATTGAGGAGCAGAGGAGATCCTAGGGTGTCCCCCCACAAAGAATAGGCTAATAAGGCACTGTTGGAACTGGAACAAGAACTCTCAACTAAAAAGACAGAAGAAAATTGCATGGGGAAATAAAAAACATCCAAAAAATTCACAGTGAAGGGTTTAGCAATTTTCAACAAGCTCCTTAAAAAATTTGAAAACTTGGGCCCCCCAAAACAAAAACAAAACAAAAAATATTCATAGAGGGAATATTCCTGGTACATCATCTGTTTATAAGCAGATCTAAGATGAAATAATGAAACCAAGGAAACCACCATGTGATGCCAGACACTAGGAACTTTTTGCCCGGATGACAATGAAAAACAATCCAGTCAGGCAAGTGAACACATACAAGGCTTTTTTTTAGGGCTTCTGTTTAATAAGGGAGACAAATCTCTGACAAGAAGCATCCCTGAATCAGAGAAGAGTTCATTTTTCTAGTTACTTGCAGAGTGGGAATGTTAATTGGCACTAAACTTGAGTGTTTTTTCCCTGTGCTGAAGATAATTCACTACAGCTGTTCAGGACAACACATACAGGGCACCCAGACATTGGTGATGCAAAATGACTCTGGTCGAGGGTGGCACACAAGTCTCCTTATGTCTATTGTCATGCCATGATCCCTTTTCCTTTTGCTGGTCCATGTCTTTTTACCATTTTATCAATTTATCTTCCTTATTCTTTTTTTAATTTGTTTTAATTAGTTACACATGGCAGTACAATGATTTTGACATATCATACATTTGAATCAGAGACATTTGTTGCTTTTCTCTTTATGTTCCATAGATTCTACCTGCTGATATAAGGACTTTGCCATAAAAATCTTACCAGCTGATCTAAAAGACAAAGTGGGCAATCCAAACTTCTGGTCTATGAAGAGTCTACATCCCTGAAAACCATAAATATGGCTCCCTGCAAGGTAAATCACCATATTGCCTATCTTGTCAGTGGATAAAGTTTTTGAACAAGTATTTGAGGTCCTCCATGGGTTATCAAGTATATTTCTATAAATCTGAAGAATCTTATGGAAGGCAGAAAATGTTTCATCCTTATTAAGTGGCGCCAACTGGGGAATTCCAGTCACTTTGTAGCAGTGGGGAGTTTTATAACTTGATACAGTCCTTTCCGCTTGGGCTTCAGTTAGTCTTTTTTTGGTGCAGGATGGGAACCTGGGATTGAGTTCAGGGGCACTCAACCACTGAGTCACATCCCCAGCCCTGTTTTGTATATTACTTAGAGACAGGGTCTCACTAAATTGTTTAGTGCCTCATTTTTTGCTGAGGCTGGCTTTGAACCCATGATCTTCCTGTCTCAGCCTCCTGAGCTGCTGGGATTATAGGCAAGTACCATGGCGCCCAACTGCAGTTGGCTTCTGCTAATCCCCCTCTCCACAGTTAAGCATAACCCTGTCTCTTAGCTGCATTTTTGGAAGTACAGCAGGGTTCTGTGTTGGGTCACACTCAAGTTTGTTTCCATAGTCCAAGAGAGCTTGCTGGGTTTTGCCCAGGTTAATGCAATATTGTAAGGTATGGTTTGTATCTGTCAAATTAAAAGGTGGTATTCAGGAATTGCTGGCATCTCCAAAGGGCTTAATTTTTGATGGCTCCTTGTGGCAGCTTGAATTAATCAAAGGGCAATGGAAAACAGCCTAATTGGGGCACATGGTTTTCTTGACATAGCTTGGCTAGGATTTATTTAATGATTAGCTTTTTCTACTTTTCCTGAGGACTAGGGATAATGAGCTGAGTGATTTATAATTAATTCCAATAACTATAGAGATTTGATGTCATCTTTGCAACAAAAGCAGGACCATTATCAATTTGGGGGGGCTTTGGGAGTCTAAATTATAGAATAATTTCTTTTGAAACACTTTTACATACTCCTATGGCCATCTGTCCCCTAGTGGGGAAGGCTTCTAGCTACCCTGTGAAAGTGTCTATAAACACTGCTAAAATATTTACACACATCTTTGAAGGCATTTGGGCAAAGCCTAATGCCCAGTTTTCACCAGAGGAATAACCCCAAGACTGAAGAGGCTTTCAAAGTGGAAACGTCCGACTTAGAGTTTACAAAGTCCCTTTCCAGTAAGAATAGCCCTAAGCAGGTCTCAGAGGTTGTCCATTTTGTAATAGGTGACATCATGTAGATGATTAGAAAGTTTGCACTGATCAGCCCTAGGAATCATAATCTCTTGTCCATCTGGAAGCCATCCTGACTCAATGAAGTACCCCCACTGACCTCATTTTTATATTTCCACAGAGCAATATTTAGGCATATTAGTTAGATCAGAACTAGGGCCAGGAATTTATGCATTGTGTTGGGGGTTGGCTACAAGCTTTGCAATTTCATATGGTGGGATTATAAAACCTCCTAATATCATAAGGTTAATTTAGAGGCCTCATTAACCAGCAAAGCAGTTGCAGGCGCTGCTCTCAAACTTGACCATTGGATCTAATTGTCTGGAGAAATAGGTTACCAGTCTTGAGATAAATCCTAGTTTGGGGCTTAGAACCACCAAAAGTAAACCCACCTTTCCCATTCAGGACTCCTATAAGGATTTTGCTTATAGCCTAGGAAATAAATGCCTGTGAGTCTGGCTTCAGTGATACATTTGCTTGCAGTTTTGTCCCTTCTTGACAGAGGGATAGGACATTCTGGGGAATAAAGAAATGGGAGATAGTTTGAGAGCCAATAGTTTAAGTAGAAGGGAAAGATAAGTATCTCATCTAAGCCCTACCATGTATTCCTGAAACCAAAGACTCCTGGTATGATAAGGCCCAATATGTTGGATCAGGGCAGAACAGGCAGCTGCAGTATCTACAAGCTTTCCTACCTGCACTTCTAGGGTGACCCAGGGTTTCTCCCATGAGATCTGAGTTCCTGGCAGAGGCATCTTTCAATGGTATCAAGAGAGGCCTCTGATGTGGGTTGCAACTTTGTTGCCCTGCTCATTGACAATTAGGGCATTCATTGCCCCAGGTTGCTAT